TAGTGCTAGAGAGAGAATGGGAGGAGATGGTGTTACCAGAACCCAGAAGCCTGGGCCAATGGGTGGGAGGCTGCCTGGTGGGATCTGGGAAATAAGCGAGCCACAACCCAACTCAGGGCAGTGAGGGAGATAAATACCTGGACTTCTCCCCTTCTGCTCCCCAGACTTAGGGCATTGTCTCACCTGAAAGGTAGTTGGCAAGGGAATTCGAGAAATGTAGCTTCCGGCAACCCAGAGTAACAGGCAAATGATCAGCACAAATGGAGTTTGGTGCACGGACAGGGGACTGGGGAATATAAACCTGTGGTGGCATCATTTTATAGAGGATCTTGAATGTCAGATCTTGAATGTAGGGTTTTCCACATGTTTTGTTAAGCAAAGGTGGCTCATAGAAAGTAAAATGCAGGAAGTCACTAAAACTGTTTTAGGAAGACTTCCCCAATGGGGGTATGATAGCGAACAGAGAAATAATAGCTTTCCTTTGAGTACCTACTATGTGCCAGGCAAAGGGAGTGCTAAGTGCTTATTTAATGATCTCAGAAAGTAGATGTTTCTGGTTCTGGATATGAGATGACTTCATGATACCTGGCTGGGCATATCACAGTTATTGGAATAATGTGCATGTGGAGCAAGGCTGTAGAGATAAAGGATGGAGATTTTTGAGTCTTCTGAAGAAAGGTGAGAGCAGAAGCTGAAAGAGAGGGAGGACAAAATATTCATGTCACACAGTATAAGAAATAAGAGATCAGGCATTATGGGAAACCCACAAGTAAGAAAGCCAGTGAAGAAAAGTTTATTTTCCTGCAGAAGCCAAAAGAAACTACAGCTTCAAGGAGGGAAAGGTCAGCCCGGCCAGCATGGCTCAGTGGTTGAGTGTCCACCTATGAACCAGGAGGTCATGGTTCCATTCCCAGTCAGGGCACATGCCTGAGCTGTGAGTTCGGTCCCCAGTGTGGTGGGGGTGGGGTGACAGGAGGCAGCCAATCAATGATTCTCTCTCATTGATGTTTTTTGTCTTCCTTCCTCTCTGAAATCAATAAAAAGGTTTTTTAAAAAGGGGGAAATGTCAGTGGTGTCAAACATTTCCTGGTCAGAAGAGATGAAGACAGAGGGGAGAAAAGCCATTGACTATAGCAGATGGGATGCATATAGAAATTGTTTCTCTAACAGGTGGAGTTAAGGCAGCCTAACCGGATGGCCTTGGCAGGCTGAGTGAAGCAGGAGACAGGGTAATCTGCTGAGGGTAGGAGTGGGTGTTGGGAGGCCTCTGGGAGAATGCAAGCATGCTGTTTATCTCCCATGAGCTCCTTGGGTGTAAGAGCTATGTCTTCTTCACTGGTGTACCCTGGTACTTATGTAATGCATAGGACTCAATTTCGTGGTTACTAGCTGACTTGCAGAATGATGAATGAATGAACAAATGAGTGAATTTGGTGGGAGTTAACCCAAATTGAAAATAAATGTGGAGTAGCAGTGAACGCTCAGCTGAAAGTAAATAGCTTCATTGTACTTTCCTAAATCTCAGTAATCTGGACAGATAAATAATAGTTCCCTGGCTGGGAGTAAATGAAACAAAGAAACAAACAAAACAAAAAAACCTAGAGAATAAGATGAATGGGATATAGAAATAATTTTTGAAATGTCTAACCAATTGGGTCCAAATTGGTTGGGAGGAAAATGTATCCTGATGGGGGTGGAGGATTGCAGAAAGTGTCTGGAATGCTTGAGATCAAGATTTCACAATATTTGGACTTGGGGCCCAGGCATCAGTATTTTTGAAACCACAATAGGTAATTACAACTGCAGCCAAGGTTGGGTCGGAAAGAAAAGAGGGAAGTCTAACAGGAAAGTGGATTGAAATCGTCAAGAGCTAAGAATCCTGACCACTGAAGATTTAAGTAATGAGTAGAAGGCCATGATAGTGATTAGCTGAGGTGCAGTGAAAATGAAGGTAATTGAAATTGATGAGACTGAGCTTGAGGAACTGTAGGGTCATCATGATTCCAATGCCTCAGACTAAATCAGGATAATTATTTCACTAAAAAATATAAGTCAACTCTAAAGGACTATAGTCATGTAAAATATGCAACAAGGGCTAACGTTGTGATCAAATGAAGAACGAGGAAAGGCACTGGGCCAGTTTAACAACCTTTTATTTCACTTGGACATCTGCTACCCTCCAGATCAAGGCAGCTGAGATGACCTTCTGTCATAGCTGAAGTAGGGAGAAGTGACAGATTTGGTTGGAAGGTCATATGTTACAGATAAATTCCAAGGGCCCTCCCCCATTCTGCTACCCCCCTGCCCTTTGGTAACCATCAGCTTGTTCTCTATATCTATGGGTCTGTTTCTGTTTTGCTTTGTTTTTTTTAATGTTTTTATTCATTTCAGAGAGATAGAAACATCAATAATGAGAATCACTGATCAGCCACCTCCTGCTGCCCCACACTGGAGACCGAGCCCACAACCCGGGCATATGCCCTGACCTGGAATCAAACGGTGACCCCGCACCCCCACCCCAGTTCATAGGTTGAGGCTCAACTACTGAGCCCCAGTGGCCAGGCTGTTCTTTCATTTCACTTAGCATCATACCCCCTAGGTCCAACAATGTTCTTGAAAAATGGCAAGATTTCATACCTTTTATTACTGAACTAGAGGCCCAGTGCATGAAATTCATGCACAGGTAGGGGCCCTAGGCCTGGCCAGCAATTAGGGCTGATCTGTGGGGTGACCAGGGCCCAGCTTGCACCCGCCTTGGTCTGGCGCCGCCCACTCACCTGCTCCACCATCCCACCATGGTCCCACTTCCATTAGGGTCCATCAGGGCCAGCAGCATCTCCACTGCTGCCTGCTACCAGTGCCACATCGCCCCCTGGTGATCAGCACACATCTAGTTCCTGGTCAGTTGAACTCCCAACCACGGGGACAATTTGCATATTAAGCTTTTATTATATACCTGATATATAATAAAAGCCTAATATGCTAAGTGTCTGGTCATCCAGTCAACCATTCAGCCAATCAAAGCATAATATGCTAATGATAAGCTAAGGCCATATCATTAGCATATTAGCAACCACTTGCTATGACACACACTGACTAAAAGGGGCAGATGCTCCCACTGGTAGTTTAGCTTGCTGCTGGGATATGCCCAATCAGAACTGGGCAAGACAGGGCTGGACATACCCTGGAGCTCTCCTGCAGTCTCTCCCCAGCTGGCCAACCTACCATGGGGACTGCGCAAGACAGCCCCGATCGGCCCCAATTGCTGGCCAGGCATAGGTTCCCCACCTGTGTATGAATTCATGCACCGAGCTCCTCTAGTAGGATATTACAGTGTGTGTGTGTGTGTGTGTGTGTGTGTGTGTGTGTGTGTGTGTGTTAATTCACATCTTTACCCATTTATCACCTGTCAATGGGCACCAAGGTTGCTCTGTATCGTGGCTATTGTAAATAATACTGCAGTGAACATAGGGATGCATTCATCTTTTTGAGATCCTATTTTTGTTTTCTTCAGCTACATACCTAGAAATGTAATTGCTATCACATGGCAGCTTTAATTTTTTTTTTTTTTTTTTTGAGGAATCTCCACTGTTTTGCATGATAGCTGCACCATTTACAATCCCTACAAAACAGTTCCCTTTTCTCCACATCCTTACCAGCACTTAATGATTTCTGATGGGTATGAAGTGGTATATCATTGTGATTTGCATTTCCTTGATCAGTGATTTTGAGCTTTATTTTTGTCTATTGATCATCTAGATGTTCTCTTTGGAGAAATGTCTACTCAGGTCCTCTGCCATTTTTAATTGGATAGTTTTTGAGTGTTAAGCTGTATGAGTTCCCTATATATTTTGGGTATTAACCTCTTATCAGGGATACCATTTGCAAATAATTTTCTCCCATTCAGTAGGTTGTCTTTTTGTTGTTTATGGTTTCCTTTGTTGTACAAAATCTTATAAAATTTGATATAGTTTTTATTTTTGTTGTTGCCTTTACCAAAGGAGACAAATCGAAAAAGATAAAAGACTGATGTCAGAGTTTGCCTGTTTTCTTCTATGTTTTACATTTAAGTCTTTAACCCATTTTTTCATATATGGTCTAAGAAAGTGGTCCAATTTCTTTTACATTTATCTGTCCAGTTTTTCCAGCACCACTTATTGAAGACTGTAGTGAAAGCTGTGATATAGGTTCACATTCTAGAGGTAAGCTATGACTTATTCTTCTACTAACTCATTTTCTCTTTCATTAATGAACAAGATGTCAAAATTTCAGAATGTTGCATGGGGTTTGAGGTCAGAAATTTGGTGCCTGAGTGCTACCAGTCCCTGCTTTGCAAACTTCTAGAAGAGCACCCTGGCTGCAGAACTTCTCAGGTAAGCCATAAAGAATAATCCACCATCCCTTACCTTTAATAGAAAAAGTCTGGCTCGGGAATGCCACAAGTTCAATTTCCGCTTGTTTGGAAGAGAGTGACAGGCTTCTCCCTAATAGGGCGATGGGACTACACAGGGTGACCTCTTAATACAGCAACCTTATTCACTTCAATCTGGTAACTCTCCTTACCTTAGAGAGCGATTATGGAGGAGGTACACGGGAAGTAGAACGTCCTAAATACTACGTGCTGAGGCCGTTTAACCATGCTAGAACCTTCAGTGCCACACAAAACTTGTGAGTTTTGTTTTGGTTTCATAGCAATTTTTATGCTATACTGTTTAAGAAAAATTTCAATTATCATCCTACTTTTAAGAGAACATTATAAGGTGCCAGACATGTTGGGGAGCGTTTCGAACCTTCCAGATTTGCTTAGCTGTCAGCTGAATACTACTAATTCAATAGCATGTAAAAGCAACAAGCTGTGCCCCATCAAATCATGATACAATGAAAACAATGGTTATTCTGAGTCACTGATTTTTGGGGTAATTTGTAACGCAGTAATAACTGGAATGAACATGCATGATGAACCACCCATCACCTGAGACTAAAACAGTTTTTGTCTTGCAGTTGGTGTTTAGTATTTACTAATAACCTTTTCCATATCAGAAACTCCCCATACCTAATTTCGCATTTCATTTTGAGATATTTTCTTTGATAAAACACTGATCTGCTATGACATTTAATTACAGGTCATGTTGTTGACCCTGCTTCATGGACTCTTATTAGTAAGTGGAAGCATTCCTTCTATACTTTTAAAGCAGGAAACATTTCTTTACTTGCTGTTTCTAAGAGTAGGATCCCATGAATTTATCCCAAAACTTTACTCAAGGGTCTACTGAACTTTTCTATACAGCCTCCTGCCCCTTACCCCTTTTCTTTCTTTTTTTTTTTTTTTAAAATACATTTTATTGATTTTTCACAGAGAGGGAGAGAGATAGAGAGCTAGAAACGTCCATGGGAGAGAAACATCGACCAGCTGCCTCCTGCACACCCCCTACTAGTGATGTGCCCGCAACCAACGTACATGCCCTTGACCGGAATCGAACCTGGGACCTCCCAGTCCGCAGACCGACGCTCTACCACTGAGCCAAACCGGTTTCAGCATACCCTTTTCATTTTCTTAAAATTCTGCCATTTATGGTCTCGATTGCCAAGTATTGCCTCTCATCTCACATTGTTATGGGAAGGACCCAAGAACGTTTTCTCAGGTCTTAATAGGAATGTTTCTTTAAAGTAGTTTTTTTTGGCAGAACACTGACATGGAACTGATTTTTGTTATTAGATGTTAGAAAATTCACAGCCCACCTTTACCATATGTGTCACAGAATTGTTTTATTAACTTTCACCCTGGCTTCATCTAATTTATTCCATCCTCAATTTCCTTTTTCTAATTTCTTCACTTAAAAAAATAGCTGTGTTGTATGCATTTTTTAAGTAAGCTATCTTAAAAACATTTTGAAACAAGACAGGCCATTTTATAAATCGTTCAAGATCTTAAGGTATTGCCGAAAACAGTTTGGCTCAGTGGATAGAGCGTTGGCCTGTGGACTGAAAGGTCCCGAGTTCAATTCTGGTCAAGGACATGTACCTTGGTTGCAGGCACATCCCCAATGGGGGGTATGCAGGAGGCGGCTGATCAATGACTCTCTCTCATCGATGTTTCTAACTCTCTATCCCTCTCTCTCCCTCTCTGTAAAAAATCAATAAAATATATATATATTTTTTTAAAAATCTTAAGGTATTTTGAAAGTCCTTCTTTCATCAGCTTTAATCCAATCTTTCTAGGTAGTCTTCATTATATTTTAAGTCCTTTTGTATTATTCCTTCAGTTTCAACTATGACTTTTATACTGGCCACAAGTAGATCTGTGTATCTCAGTCCAGAACTCTGTATTTTTTGGACCTAAATTTACAGCTAACAAAAGAGCATTTCCTGTCTACTATCTTTCCCTTACACACACCCTATCCCCCACATCTTTAATTAAAATACTGTTAATTACAATATAATTACATATATTTTTTTTATCATATTCAAGTATTTTTAATATATTAACAAACATTATACTTTCTAAATCTCTTTTAATTCAATTTTCTTTAATAACCAAGCATTGAAAACTTTACAAAATGTCCATTAAATCTGTTAAGATTCTTTTCCTTTTCCCCCCCTCTATGGGTCTAAACATGGGTTAGGTTTTTGTAGACCCATCTACTTTTACTCCAAGGGGCACATGATAGGATCTCACTCAAATCAACTTTTCAAAACAGAAAAATCCCTATAAATAAATAGTGCCAGTCTGTGTTAATTTTTTGTGATGGTGTTAGTTTTGAAAGACATCTTTAGTAAATAAATAAAGGGGAGAGTGAAAATACTGTGGCTTGCTTGGCGAATCTTAATTGCGAAATTTCTTCTTCTTTCGGAACTTCTTTCCTGCTGCATTTGCTGTTTTTTCAGCCATGATCTCTGAGTATTTCCTTCGGTTATATCTAAAAATAAAACCCAAACTTTTAAGTTCTAAAGTATGACAAATCAGACTTTAGAAGTTAATGTAACATTTTGGGAAGGTGGAACCCGCTTTTAAATTTCAATTTTTTTGTGTGTGCATTTTTACCATCTATTCATCACATTTGTACTAAGTTCCTGTGTTTGTATTTTTACCATCTATTCATTATATTTGTACTAAGTTCCACTATGTGTAAGGAGCCATAGTAGGAGTTAGGGCAGAGGAGTGAACCATACAGTCAAACTCTCTGCCCTCCTGGAGCTTATAGTCTAGTGAGAAAAAGTGACAACTATAGAGGGAAGCTTCTGAAAACTTTCAGACACTAGAAACTCATGCACTACATCCAGCTAATATCAAATGCTTTAAGTATTTCTGTGAGATAAAAATGTAAATAAAGGATTAAGTAAAACAAAAAGTTTGAACTTACCTGTAAACACACAACATACTTCTTAGAACCTTAAGAAATATTCCAAAGACCAATGGTTTCAAAATATGGTCTGGGAATGAGACCCTTGCAGGAGTCCGTTAAGTAAACACTATTTTACAAATATACTGACATTGTTGCCTACCGCATGAGTGTACAGGGAAGTTTTCTTGAGGCTACACACACAATGTGTTGTATCATAACAGACTGACACAGAAGCAGGTATGAGGCTCCAACTGTCTTTAAGCCAGACATTAAAGATATTTAAATTTAATTATTCTTGTTTTGTTCATGAAAACATGTTAATCTGTAATGGGTTTATTACTTGAAAATGAATTGATAAATATTCTTAAAGTTTCTAAATTCTAATTTCCATTATGGTAAATATTGATAAATGTAACCCACAGAACACAAGTTCTCTGGGTCTTCAATAATTCTTCAGAGTGTGAAGGCATCCTCAGACCAGAGAATTGCTACTATAGGCTATATTTCCCCATTGAGCTTTGGAAACACAGAAGCATAATTTATTGCAGAAAAATAATGCTGTTGTAGCTAGAAGCTGTCAGTCCACAGTTAATTACGAAGTTAAGAAATTCTCTAAACATACAAAATTCATTTGTTTTAAAGCACATTCACTGTGTTAAATGTTACCGTGTTTCCCCGAAAATAAGACATCCTCCGAAAATAAGATCTAGCGTATGGAAAGATAAGACATCCCCTGAAAATAAGATCTAGCGCAACTTTGGGAGAAAAAATTAATATAAGACACTATCTTATTTTCGGGGAAACAGGATATCACATTACTAAATCCGAGGATTAGCTAAAATTCTCTCTAAAACAGAAGCTATTTAAGCCTTTACAACTTTACAGCTCATTCAATGTCCAAAATACAACTTATACAGACTTTCTAACAAATCTAAGGTTAGATTAAAAATAAAACAAAGCCAGTCCTGACCAGGTAGCTCAGTTGGTTAAAGCATCATTACAACAGGCCAAGGTTTTGGGTTCGATCCCTGGTCAGGGCACCAACGAACAAATAGATAAGTGTAACAACAAATTGATGTTTCACTCTCTCCCCCTACCCTCCCTCTATCTCTAAAATCAATAAAAATAATTTGAAAAAAATGAAACAAAACCAAAAACCACCTAACAAAGAAAAGCACATTTTCCATACCCACAATCTATATTATTTTTAGAACCCTTAATAAATATTTTCATTTTTGCTATTAAACCAATCTGGGATTTTAGCAGAGGTATGCTTTTAAATCTCCTATAATATTCTAGAGGCCCAGTGCATGAAATTCCTGCATTGGGGGGGGGGGGGGGGGGCCTCGGCTCCCTCAGCCAGGCCTGCACCTTCTCCAATTCGGGACCGCTCAGGGGATGGCAATTGGACATCTCTCTCACTATCCGGGACCACTGGCTCCTAACCGCTCACCTGCCTGCCTACCTAGTCAACCCTAACCCCTCTGCCTGCCAGCCTGATCGCTCATAACTGCTCCTCTGCAGGCCTGATCGCCCCTAACTGCCTCTGCTTTGGCCCCACCACTGTGGCTTTGTCTGGAAGGAGGACCAGATGACTGGAAGATGTCCCAGTCGACCTTGTTTAATTAGCATATTACCCTTTTTATTAGTATAGATAAGTAGCTGCTTCAAGGAGCTTTAAACATATTCAAATTGTTCCACATCTACTGCCCTGCCTCTTTCTTCCTCTTCACAACAGAACTTCAAAGAGTTATGTCCATTTCTTCACTTTCTTTTTTTAAATTGCTGAGACTTCTTAAAAGTCTTACTTTAAAAAATATATTTTTAAATTTATTTCAAAAAGGGTGAGGGAGAGAGAGATAGAAACATCGATGATGATTGAAAAATCACTGATCGGCTGCCTCCTGCATGCCACTTACTGGGGATCAAGCCTAAAACCCCGGGCATGTGCTCTGACCCGAAATCAAAGAGACCTCCTGTTCGACACTCAACCATTAAGCCACAACAGCCACACCATTTCTTCATTTTCAACTCACTCTCCAGTTGTTTTCTTCCCCATCACTCCCCTAAAGTCCCTGCCAAAGTTACTGTAACTAAATCCAAAGGAAGTTTTTTTAGTTCTTATCTCTCAGCAGCATTTGTTAATCACTCCCTCTGGCTGATACCTGCTTAAAACATTCTTTCCTTGACTTCTATGTCATTGTGTCCTCCTGGTTTTCTTAATATCCCCTTGGTTATTCGTTCCTAGTCTTTTTTTGCAGGCTCATTCATCTCTAGCCAGTCAAATATTTTCATCTCTCTAAAGCAGTAGTTCTAAAATGGGAATGCTTATGCTCTGCAGGGGACATTTGGAAATGTCTGAAGACATTTTTATTGTTATGAATGGAGTATTGCTACTGGCATATAGTGGGAAGGGGCCAAGGAGGCTGTTAAACATCCTACAATACACAAGAAAGGCCCTCCTAATAAAGAATTATCCCATCCAAAATGTAAGTAGTGCTGCTTTTGAGAAAGCATGCTAAAATAAAGCATTTAAAAATATCTGAAATTTTAAGTTTACACATATTCTAAAGGAAAGCATACATTTTATAAAGTGAAACATAAATTCCTTTACCTTCTAAACTCAGAATCGGCCAGCAGTTCTTCCACAATAGTTTTCTTCCTTTGCTTCTTGGGAATTCGTGAATGATAGAAGTCAGCTGGATTGTCAACAATGGTGCCAATCTATGAGCAATTGATAAAATAAGTCATATGACACCTGAATGCAATGCTGCTTTCCTATTTCAGAGTAGCTCTTATTTATAGAAGTGAAAAACATAAACATACATTACACCAACATTAAAATTAATTTTTGCTATTTTTAAGAGCAAAAATAAATCACCGATTCAATCTGCATTAGGTCCTAATGACATTTCTTCATTAGTTTATAATAAACCCAAAACTCCTTATATAATTTTGTGTTAGACAGTAAAGTGAGTTCTTGATGAACAGTGTAATTACAGGAAAAAAGTGGGACAGATAATATAAACTCCTGTTTTAGCTTCCCAATTTAATGAAACCGATACATAAATTCTACTTCACATCTATTTCATCTCCTAAATCAGTGGTCGGCTAACTCATTAGTCAACAGAGCCAAATATCAACAGTACAACGATGGAAATTTCTTTTGAGAGCCAAATTCTTTAAACTTAAACTTCTTTTAATGCCACTTCTTCAAAATAGACTTGCCCAGGCCGTGGTATTTTGTGGAAGAGCCACACTCAAGGGGCCAAAGAGCTGCATGTGGCTTGCAAGCCGCAGTTTGCCAATTACTGTCC